TTTAAATATAAAAACTGTTTGCTTTAAAGGAGTTATCTTCTAGAAATACCCCGTTTTGTTACACACACACACACACATAAATAAATACATGCATATATATATATATATATATATATATATATATATATATATATATATATATATATATATTATTATTATTATTATTATTATTATTATTAATAGTAGCAATTATCTTATAAGTATAAGAAATTATACTCGTTCGGAAAACCTTCGGTGTCTTGATTTGCAAATAATCAAACCAATACCAAAGGAAAAAAAAGGTATAAAAAAAGAAAGCGTAAAGAACATGCACGTCAGCCGAAAATAATCGTCTAGCATGCAAGTCCAATGGCCAAAGAAAAAAAAACCCTGTTACGAATAAGCCAAATAAATAAATAAAGTGCTCAATACAGTAAGTAGAGCCAGCCTTCCCTGGCCACCGCTTAGGTGAAACCTTGGTAGGTTTCTCTGGCTCTCTAGGTTTAACTATATATATATATATATTGAAAGTAACTAATATATTGATACAATAGTTGTCGGTGAAAATGAATGCTCTACCGTCCCTTACTAAAATGATTGGTTTTCTCCATAACTAATATTACGAATGTATATGCTTATAAAGCTCCGTAAATTTCAAAATTAGTTATTCCAAAATTCGCTTGAGGATGAAACAGAACTATGTACTTTAATTTAATTTAATTTCTATAATTGAATTGAAAGTTTTTAGCTTCTGTTTTTGAAACATGGTAATTTCTATGTAGCGATGGAATCATATTTTGAAAAAAATAATTATATATATATTATTATAAACGTTACTTGAGTGGATACCCGTGTTTGAAATAGATGCCCCGTTTTTAAGTCTACCGGCCTGTGCATTAGAGAAAATTAATAAAGAAAATGGACTCTCCGGTAGGGTTGGAATTTTTTTTTAAATTAAGAATATCTCACCATATTTTCCCACCCTTTAAGCGCATTTTTTTTTAAAATCATCTATCGAAGAAAGAAAAAAATTAGTCAGAAAATATACTAATATTCTGCTCTGTCACTTGGTAATAAGCACTTTAGATATAAAGACTGTTTACTTTAAAAGCATCATCTTCTAGAAATACCCCGATTAGCCGTTTTTGGGAAACACGAGTTTTGTTATATATATATATATATATATATATGTGTGTGTGTGTGTGTGTGTGTGTGTGTATCGGTAGTGGATGCGTACTGCTGATGAGTCCCAAAAATAGGACGAAACGGCCGTCCAGTGCTTTCTGCATTCTGTTGAGGATTCTTCTAGACTCGATGAATTACTATATATATATATATATATATATATATATATATATATATATATATATATATATATATATATATATATATGTTCTATTGCTTATGAAGAAATATGGTTTTAAGGTGTGCTATATTTATTGTAGCAGTCAGACAATTAAATGCACTAAAAAGCCTAACAGAAATAATAAAATTCATATTACCTCCCCGGACAAAGGAGGTGGGATTCATATTATAAATAGGAACGCATACAACAATAAAGTTAATTTACTACTCAACGATACATACACATATGAGAAAAAAAGATGAACACAGAACAATTAGAGAAACACGGAAATTTAATACAGCGAAAATAATTAATAATCAAAAAGCAAATCATGGTATAAACGAAATAGAATACCACCCTTGAATAAGTAAAGTTTATGGTCTCCCTAAACCTCACAAACTAGGCGATATTCAGATGCGCCCGGTTATATCAAATATTGGTAGTGCTCCCCACAAACTGGTGAAAGCCATAACAAAAACTATAATCCCACTCCTTGGAACCATCAGCCAATCATATATACGTATATAGGAGGGAAAGTCAAAAATTATCGGCACTCATGACACAGACATGTTATGGTGAAAGTGTGGATTATTTTTTACTTAGCGTCGTGTGTATATATACACAGCCCCCCCTCTCTCTCTATATATATATATATATTATCTCAGAACTTTCGCTTCTTGTTCTGCTAAACCCATCAGGTAACTTGCTCACTGTCTTGTTTCTCTTGAGAGTCGAATTTTCCAAGTCTTCGTGATGTTTCCAAGAAGTTTCGTCTTTGATTCTGAGTTCTTTGTGTTTCCATTTTTCTTCAAACTTCTTCGCTGCTTACGTTCTCCATCTATAGAATTCTTAACATCCGTCTGTATAATTAAATTTCTGTTGCTACCAGTTTCCTTTTCATCTGTGAGGAGACTAGCAAGCATGCACAGCCATGCAAGAAAATTGATATTGCACCACAGTTCAGTATTCTTTTCTTTGTTTCTAATGAAATTTTGCTGTTATTTACGTAGATTTTGGAAGGCATCTTTTGCTAATCCTTCTTTCAGAAAACTGACCTGAGATTTACGATAATCTGTATGTCCACAATGTTCTATCTGGTTGCCCTAAATAGATTTTGACATTTTACCATCTCGCTAATTCAAAGGAAACCTCTCATCAAATGCAACCCAAAGACAATAATCGATACGCATTGTTAAAATTAGTTACCGCTTATATAAAGTTTATATATATATGTATGTATGTATGGTCGGGTACATCCACTTACGCGCAAATACCTTAGGAAAGGAATGAATCCATCTCCCCACCCCGAGACAGAGTGGGTCATATAGACTTGGTTTGGCAACCAGTCTAGAGCAACCTGCTGCGTGAAAATCTTCTGTTTAGTCAGTCATGAATTGAAACAAACAGGATCGCCCAAAACTGACTGATATACAATGTGATTGAAAAGTAGCTCCCTAGTTTATGTTTGATGGACTCTACCGTCTAACGATAATTTTTACAAGACGAGAGACTCCATCATATATGAAAGGGAGTTACTTTTCAATCACCCTGTTTATATATATATATATATATATGTGTGTGTGTGTGTGTGTGTGTGTGTGTGTGTGTGTTTCGTTACAAAGAAATGACAGGGTACTGCGGTTAAGTTTTATATTTAATTTTTATTGTGTTCGTATATTTTTTAGAAATTGTCGTAATGTTCTGTATGTCCGAACGCTTTCGGCTATTCTTTTAGCCGTTATCAAGGATGATTTTAGATCATTTCTTTTTTTTTTTATCGAGGATGATTTTATTTTTATTTTTAACTCAATGTATAGATTTTTTATGTATGCATCTAGAATTATAAAAATGTTTTAATTTTCCAAACACGTTCAGCACATTGTTGATGTTATTGAGTGCTGGCTTTTTCTTTTTTATTATTAATACCTCCATTATTTTTTGGCTTTTTTTACATGTTGATGATATTTTATTTGTACGAGTATTTTGCGGATGGAGTTTGTTTGGTAGGATTCCGTGTGTTTAAATGAGATCGAATTGAGCTATGGTCAGAGAGATGCTACGTAGAAAATACAAATATATATATATATATATATATATATATATATATATATATAAAGAAATAATGTATTTATTATTGATCCGACATTTTTTTATTTTTTTCAGATGTTGTTTTAGTGGATACTTCTTATTTGAAATAGACGCCCCATTTTTATTTATTTATTAAACAGTGTAATACGTCTTTCGTTCTGCGCATTCGAGAAAACTAAGTAAAGAAAATGGATCCTCTGGCAAGCATCACAAAGAGAGACACAGGTTCGATCCCTGTCGGAAGGCACATTTTCTTTATTTGAATTTTGTGAATGCGAAAACCGATAAATGTATTATACACTGTTTAAAAAATAAATAAAAATTGGGCGTTTATTTCAAATAAGAAGTGTATACTGTAATAACTTTTGAAGTAATATATATCTTTTTCAGTGTGTTTGTGTATCTATTGGTCAGTTCGTCCATGAACATTTCATTTGATATCAAATTTAAGATTTAAATGTTCTTTGCGCCGAAAATAAAATCTCGTTGGCTATTACCCAACTCTGATACCGAATAAGTTTTGTTGGTTATTAAAATAGTACGGATTTGTTTCTTGATTAAAATAAGCAAATTAATTCGCTATGTTGCAATGTAGACTAAGTTACATTTTTCATTCGTGTACGTTTATGGCTCGTCTGTCTAAAACGTTTAACGTGTATAATAGTGGGTTAACAGAGAAGTGCTTCGTTTAACAATGGCAGGATATTTATATCGTGAACAGGGAGATATGATTTTTACATACGGCCGCGCGAATAGTAATGGACGCGAGGCTGAACGGCTGTACCAGATTTCGTTTCCAAACTAAAGGCAGACGAGTCTCCAACCGTTGCTGTTGTTTATCGTTGCGTTGCTGAGACAGGGTCCGTGGCACCATAAACTATGGATCGAGGAAGACCGTGATCTTTTCATACGCCTGACCACGAAGAACACGAAGAAGGCTGTCGGAGACGATCCAGGTATCAGCACAAGTGGACCTAGCATGTTGTACATCTTTTAGTACTGCATGGAAGATAAGTCAAAAGCAACTCCTGTATCCGTATTATTTACGACGTGTGCAGGCCCTTTCACCCTCAGATCACTCGCCACGAGAAAATTTTTGCCGATGGTTTATTGCACAAACTGCTAATCCGTTGTTTCTCTCTTCGATCTTGTCAATGGATGAGACAACATTTGGAAGAGATAACAAATTTACACAATCAACATTTGTTCGCGGATCAGAGTCCACATGGTACAATATAGCGTAGACACCAGCATCAGTTTAGGATTAATGTATGGGATAGGTGACTGCCTGGTAGGTCAATATATCATCGGAATCAAAACTTATCTATCTATATATATATCCGAATGTAATGAGAATAAAAATAATATATAAATTCTAACGTTCACAGCATTAATTCAAAAGTGGGCTCAATACCAAAAGTAGAGCAATAATTATTTATTATAATTTTTACATACGGACAAAAACAACTTACTCACTACAAAAATGCATTCTTGTTTCGATGCGACTGCAAGTTTTGGTTCTCACCAGTCGAGATGCAGCCGCTTCTAAACAAGAATGCATTGTTGTTTGTTTTTGTCTGTATATAAGAATTATAATATCTATCTATCTATCTATCTATCTATCTATCTATCTATCTATCTATCTATCTATCTCAGTATATTTATTATCGATCTCTCTATGTATGTCATTCTGTTCAGGTCTATCTATCGATATAGTGTTTTATATATATGGATTTTCACTGTTGTTGTCCCAAACATTTTAAGTATCGATATATAAACTTAAGAGCATTTTATATTCAACGAGGAAAGAAACAATAGAAAGAAAAGGGTTAAAATCTGTTTCTTTATCTTGAGTTTCGGTAAATGTTACATTTCGAATGCTCATTTTCATCGCTCACTTTTCTGGCGATTAACCTTCTTTGTATTTCTTGCAATCGACATCTTTATGGATTCAGGAAATGTGCTTTATAAATACAATCTAAAAGCTGAATTATCATATTTTGATATTGCAAATACCGAATTTGATTTTAAACTGGTCCCAATACCAACCGGTGTAGTTTTTACATTAATATCGACTCAAGCCCCTGGGGAGGGGTCATCCCCATACAGGCAGTATCTCTCCAACTGAGCTCTGAAATTTTATTCACTAATTATTTATTACCCGGCACTTGAGACGTCTCCAAACGAGAAAGTGCTGAGTGGGCTTGAGGAATTTATGAGCGGCATCCCACATAAATTATTGACCTTGTACTACATTCTGGTGCGTGTAGACCAATATCCACTCTATAAAATGTAAATGCAAGATTAGACTCAGAAAAGGTCTTTTTGGCTTGTATTTGTTTATATATTTATGAAAAGTTTTTTAAAAATGTGTTTAGCGAGGACAGAAGACAGTGTTCGAAAAAGGTAAGCTTTTAGTACAAGCAAAAGTTTTTGTCGAAAGCATTAGATTTGCAGAAGCAATCAGTACACTTGTGTGCTCATAAAATTTACAAGTGGACCAGGAGTGGAGGTTTATCCCTTGTTTCTTGATTAGGATTAAGTTTCTTGTTTAAGATTAGGTTTCCGTTTACTTCTAAAGTCTTTCTATTCTCTTTCACTCCAAATGGCTTATTGCGTTTTACTGATATTATCGCCTTGCTTTGGATGAATAGATTAAAGTATCTATCAATATACATGAAGTATGTATAGGTGAAGACACACACGCACAAATACACGCACAGACACACACACATATATATATTAGGATAGTATTCATCTAAATTTTATGTGTCGAGCTGCATGTTGGCAATCTGAGCGCTCTTTTGAGTATCAGAGTATATACTATCTGCATGTTTTCTGAAAACATTCGTCGTCTAAATCAGGGGTCGGGAACCTTTTGCTAACTATGTGCCGATTTAGGATTTTAAAATAATTCTGTGTGCCAACGAAATACGTATTTTTATACAAGTCAAGGTCAATATACCTGTTCCGCAATATATTTTATATAGTAATATATAGTATATATACTTTAGTATATATTAAAATTGAAACAGCTAAATATCTTCTTTGCGTTGTAGTAGTTATTGGTTCGGACTTTGTGATGTTATTTGCGGCTGCGTGCCATAGAAATTAGCTTGGCGTGCTATGTGGGGCACGCGTGCTGTAGGTTTCCGACCCCTGGTCTAAAGTGCCATAGGCGAATGATCCAAAATCAGACTGTTGTCCCAGTCTTGTGTTTGGTGCGGTGTTGTCGTGCAGATTGACCGTCATCCAATCTTGGTCCATCACAGCTTTGTAAGCAGGTTCAGAGTCCTGCTGAAACACATCTAGCCTTCCATTACATACAAAGGTCTATCCACGGCTTCACAACTATTTCCAGCAAGTTAGTGTAGCCAGCAGTATTCAACCGAAGTGCCTGTTGAAAAAATGTCGGATGGCATGGCATGTCTATCACTACTCACCGCATCTAAAACCATCAAAGAAGCGGGAAACATGTGCATAACATGGGGGGCGGGGACATCAAAAGGATCCGTACATAATCACCTGGCATTTCCCGGTTCACTCTTTGATCCAGCTCGAAAAAAAAAACCCCAAAAAAACCCATAGCATGCCAGGATGTTTCAACTTGTTCAGTAATCGTTTTGTTCGGAGCAACCGTTATTCTTGTGTGTGCAGGCATGAACTGCCCTTTCCTCACCACGTATGAGTTGTACTAATGTATTCATGCATCAAATTGCGGATTTTGCACTCGGACACCTGAAGATTTCTGGTAATGGACCTCAACGGCATTCCGAGATTCGCCTCGATAATGCTTTGCACCACTCTACAAATTTTGCTGCCCTGATACTGTTCGAATGCTGTAAATGCTTTTTGTGCTTCGCTACACGCCACACATCCCCGTTGGAGGCTTCCAACTCTTTCCGAACTGTGCAAAAAAAAAAAAAAACCGACTTGGCGAATCCAAAAAAAAAACAAAAAAAAAACGTGCAATCTCAGCAACGCTATGCTTTGTGTGTATCACAACATTTACAGCATGTCGTTTCATCATTAATCCTTTGAAAAGATAAAAGCACATTAATTGATTATCATATAACTGCAGGCGTACAATCAGATGTCCTTAAATAACTTACGCTCATTGCATATATTATCTGCTTATTTCTTGAAACATTATAAAATAATAATGGTTAGCTACTCGTTTTCAAGTACACCAGTCTGTTAGTGTGGGGTTGACTAATCCCTGTCGTTCAGGAATATTTATGGTTCTCCGACATCTATAGAGTCAACCTGAGATTTCTACTTGGACACGAGGATTAATGAAATCTTGATAGCTCAACCATCGCCAGATTCCGAACAATCTCGTCTACCCAATTTGATTCACAAAGATCGTGTCAATCCATGTTTTTCAGACGCTTCAAAGGTGCTACATGCCTCCTGGTACTGGTTAGGAGAAGTTAGCGATAATGATGTTTCCATATCCAGGTTCTCAATTAAATAAGAAGGATGAAATTATGGCAAGACGTTTACATACAAAAAGTATTTAATTTCTAATATGGAAGCCGGATGATATACACTTCCGGTAAAAAAAAACAACAACAACAAAAAAAAAAAAACGGATTTTCCATATTTAAGGCCAGTCGCACGGGCTAAGTAAGAATCCTTCAATTTGAGGGTGAAACTAGAGTAGCTTTGGTTTTATTTCTTATTCTTTATCCTTCTTACATTATATATATATATATAAGCTGGTATATATATATATATATATATATATATATATATAGCTTTGGTTTTATTTCTTATTCTTTATCCTTCTTACATTTTATATATATATATATATATATATATATATATAAGCTAGTATATATATATATATATATATATATATATATATATATATAGCTTTGGTTTTATTTCTTATTCTTTATCCTTCTTACATTTTATATATATATATATATATATATATATATATATATATATATAAGTATATATATATATATATATATATATATATATATATATATATATATATATATATATAAGCTGGTATATATATATATATATATATATATATATATATATATAGCTTTGGTTTTATTTCTTATTCTTTATCCTTCTTACATTTTATATATATATATATATATAAGCTGGTATATATATATATATATATATATATATATATATATATATATATATAGCTTTGGTTTTATTTCTTATTCTTTATCCTTCTTACATTTTATATATATATATATATATATATATATATATATATATATATACCAGATTAAAAGCCGGTCTATCGGGTGGCATTTAAGCTAGCTCCTGCTGAGGGCTCTTGATTGTGCCTTCATCACCCTAGGTAGCATTCGTTGTATTTAAGTATTGCCTTAATATTTAAGCTTACCTTTTAAAAGTTCAACGATAATTCTTCTGCCACCACTTAATTTAAAGACAATTTGATGTACGTAGGTCCTTACTTTCCGTACAAAAGATTATTTTTATTTCATGGGTGACTTTCATTGTATTTCGCAATTAATTTCGATTATTCTCAAATATATTTCCAAATTATAAAAATTGTTATCGTACAAAAATATTCGTCACAAAAATCACGTAAATCAAGTAAAAAAATCGCCGAAAATAATCGCAGTAATGAAGACTTAGGAAATCCAACATTTCAGGATTGCGGGTCTGAATCCAACCCGGAATGATTTTAATTTGCTCACGGAGTTGGCCTGATTCCAAAATAGTATGATATGTTGGGCTACGGCCTGTAGGGGTAAAATTGAATATATATATATATATATATATATATGTAAACAAACGATGTGACACATTATGAAATGGACAAAGTCCGACAGTTATTTACTTACAATTATTTACAGAGCATTTACTTAAATATTTGTATCTATGAAAGAAGAATGTATAAACATAAAAATGCCTTAAAAATAACTGTCGGACTTTGTCCATTTCATCATGTGTGACGTCATTTGTTTACATTTGGATACACCATGAACAGATATGAATGTACGTGAGAGATTCATGAAAGATTGAAGTTTAAAGGCAGTAAATTCGACCTTGCTAATCGAACGATTCTCTGTGGCTCGATCGGTTAAGAGCACGTCAGGCAAAATGACGGTTCCGTATAGAATACAGGTACGAATCCTGTCGGAGGACGAATATTTTCTATGAAAATTTCTCGGACATTCAGGCCGGTAAATGTTAATAAAACAGAGCATTTACTTAAATATTTGTATCTATAAAAAAGAATGTATAAACATAAAATGTCTTATATATATATATATATATATATATATATATATATATATATATATATATATATATATATATATATATATATATATATATATATAGAGAGAGAGAGAGAGAGAGAGAGAGACTGTATAAACATAAAATGTCTTAATGTATATATATATATATACATATATATATATATATATATAATATGATAATTCTTCTGGTATACACACACACACACACACACACACACATATATATATATGTATGAAGAATTAATGGATTTATTTTTAATCCGACATTTTTTATTACTTCAAACGTTATTATAGTGGATACATATATATTTAAAATAATACGATTATCCACCATAATAACGTTTGAAGTAATATATATATATATATATATATATATATATATATATATATATATATATATATATATATATATATATATTTATATATATGTGTGTGTGTGTGTGTGTGTGTGTGTTCTGTATCTGTGTGTGGATATCGTTTACATGTCATGCTGTTTT